TCAATTTTTAATAGCAGTTCAGCGAAATCCTTGCCACTTCTGCTCATATCCTTCAAGGCCTCGTTTACGTCTTTTGAGCATTTAGTATATCCGTAAGCCCAAACTCCTAGTTGCGGATCTACCGTACGCGTGTCGAAAACGTCATAACCGACTTGGTATAACAGTTCGAATTCCTAAAAAATGAGTTCATCTCCTCTTTGATGACAGTGAGAAATTGTTTTAATACTAACTGTATCGTATGGATCGGCGTTCATTCCGAAGTTGTACATATCACCAACGAACAAACAGCTCAATTTTTTCTTTGGTCCAACTAAAATATGAATCTATGGCCATTTTGGTCTCACTAAGTAGAATTGTGGGCAGGATAATATCGATACACAATCATTTCTCATAAGCAAGATCACCTGTTGTGCTCCGTTTTGTTGTTGGCTTTACAGTTGCACGTGTGGTGCTTTGCTCTGCTGTGGAAGGCTTCATAGTTGTGGATGGTTTTTTTGTTGGTGGCTTGTATCTTAAATTTTCCTTTTGAGCTCTCACTCATCAAAATATCCTGGACTACCTTCCGAGAATGGCCTGCAGAACTCTTGCAATATCATCATCCTTGTAGTTGAGAGGAACGTTCACAGCAACACCACGATCTTCTACTACATCCGTCAAGTCCGTGCCTGTAAATGTCTTGTGAGTTAATAATTTAGAGAGCAAAGACCAACAATGTAGAGGAGTTACTACTTCAAGCAGTTAGTCTATAGTAAAGCGTGTTTATAAACTCATTTGTTAGCATGTTTGATAAAATGGTTTTTCCGAGATTACCGTGGCAAAAGCACACCAGATTCGCTAAGGTTTTGAGGGTTGAAAAGTATCTCAGCATCTCTTCAGCGTTAAAAAATTGATTCAAGTGTGATGGAAAATTCTTATGTGTTTCATGTGCTCGTTGCAATTTTGGATGTTTTCACAGTGTTTGTTGTCGTCCGAAAGAAAGGTGTTTATGATTCATTTTGAACTGACCAGCGTAACCGACTGCGACAATTCGTTTGATCTCTTTGTTCTTTGGTTTTAGTTTCGGCAGCGATTGAGTGTCATTCCTAAAACAGGTCCACTGATTTATGATAGCAATTGGAGTATTTTCTTGACAAAACTTCACAGTAAGACAGTGCAAAATGCAACTCACTGTGCCGAAAAGAATACTATGCAGTTTACTCTACTATCATTTTCCTTTAACGTGTTGATGACATTGATTGCCCTAAAAATGGAAAATATTTGATTACGATTCGATCCGACGAGATTCTCACCTAGATGTTGACAGTGGATCTGCGCTGAAGTATACTTCCAATTTCTCCACTTCTTTTGAGAAAGCACTAAAGTTCGCGCTGATTTTGTCAAGTTCTGGCGATGCTGGGAAGAGCGTGTATCCATAAGCCCATACTCCGCCCATCGGCTTGATATCCCTTCTTATAAAGAAGTCATAGCCAAGAGCAGAGATAAATTCTGCTTCCTTGAAAGCGGCTGATACATCCGATACAGCCTTTATGTTTAAGAACAATTAACTAACATCGCTGTACTTATCCTCCTGTACACCAAAGTTATGTAGATCAGCGATAAACAGGCACTTTAGTTCCTCAGGCGGCCCTGGAAAATAAGCTTGGAAATTCAATTTCTTGTAAATTGGCACGAGGAGATTATAGCTTAAAGACAACGTGAGTTGTACATAAGAAAAACCGTCATAGACTTTCCGTTAAAAGAAGTTGCATTATATCAGAGAAATAGAAGTACTTGGCTTTGTCGTCGTAATCTTCCTTGTTGTCGTCGTTATGGTGGGACCCCTTGTTGTCCATGGTTTATCGCTGAAAAGTTTTTCGAATTGCTCACTCCTTTTAAAGTTTTTGCTTCGTTTTATGTTTACTCACTCTACAATAGCTCTAACTATTTTAGTCACGTCTTCGTCAAGGTAGTAATAAGGTACAGACACCGCTTTACCACCCGCCGGAACAAGGTCAATCGGATCCGTACCTGCAGAAAACGAGGTAAACCGAGCCTGCAAAATGTATTTATTTTTCTGCTTCTTCTTGGCATAAGGCTTTTCATTTTTGTCGTGTCTTTACTTTGCACTATACGATTTTAAACGCCTTTGAATATAGATGGAGCATTGATTGGATAACCTAAGAGCCGCCGTCTGACTCTAAGATCATCCTGTAGTTAGACAATTTTCTGATTGAAAACATACCATTAAGGCCAACTGCCACGATCGTTTTGATCGCCTCATTCTTAGGATTTATTTTTGGGAGTTCCTTCGTATTAACTCTGAAATGCGCCTCATGGAGTCTATCTAGGTTTTTAAACAGAATGAAAGCTCACTGCGCAGTAAAAAATACCAAACAATTCAGCTGCTTTTCATTCATTGCATTGATAGCCTCTATAGCTCTGTAAAAATCTGTCTTCATTCCATGAATTTTTTCCTAAGAGTCAACTTACTTTTGTGTTGTGATAAAATCAGATATTTCAGCGTATTCCATTTTCATTAGTAATTCGGTAAACTCATCATTATTTTTAGTCATGTTCTTCAAAGCGTCATTCACATCTTTAGGATAATTCGTATAACCGTATGCCCAAAGTCCAAGTTGTGGCTCTACTATTCGAGTGTTGAAGACATCGTAGCCTACGCGATCTAACAGCTCCGCTTCCTCAAATATTGAGGTTCATATTTCTCAAGAGAATATCCGAAATGGATGAGATATACCAATTCGTAGGAATCAGGGTGCTTTCCAAAGTTGTACATATCGCCAATGAACAAACAGTTCAATTTCCTTTTCG